GATGCCATTTAGCAGGTGTGCCTATAAATCATTTACTTTACGCCGATGACTTGATGTTAATGTCTCCGTCGGTGAAGGCACTTCGTAAATTGGTTGAAATATGTCAAGAGTATGGCTACACGCAATAATATTATATTTCACCCAATAAAAACAAAATGTATGGCTTTTTTCGCAAAATATTGGAAACAAGCCAGAGTTCCTTCTGTATATTTGTATAACAAACCATTACAATTTGTTGATGATATAAAGTACCTTGGATACATAGGTGTCCAGCCTCTGGAGATGATGCTAGAGACATGCGTAGACAATTCAGGTCAATTCATGCGAGAGCAAATCTTCTTTTGAGGAACTTTGGGAAGTGTTCGGAACATGTGAAATGTACTCTTTTTCGCTCATTTTTATATAGTAACTATTGCTTAAATGTATGGAGCAATTATACTGTTATGCAGATGTGTGCTCTGCATGTAGCGTACAACAATGCACTTCGGTTGATTTTTAAATTAGAGAGGTCGAGTAGTGCAAGTGGTAATTGTGTCAGAAGAAATATTTTCAATTGTTCAACACTTCATAGAAAATCATTGTACAATTTTAAACAGCGATTGTTTCAGAGTGACAATAGTATAATTGATATTTGTATAAATAGTGATTTATTCCTAAGGTCTAGTTTTTGGCGCAATTATAGACGCCTTCTTTATAAATAATGTTATTTCTGTTGTAATTTCTCTATGGACCTTTGAGTCTGAAATACAGTATAATAATAATAATAATAATAATAAAACACTCAACTACAAAACCAACACGCATAGACTAAGTTTCAATGTATAATTAGGCATGGATTAATTATCAGTATTCGTGTAAGTTTCAGTTTATTTGTTGACAGATTGTTGATATGTTGAAGAATTCTAACTACTAGCTACTTTCTCTAAGCATCAAGTAATTCAAAATAATCCGACATAACATAATGTTTATATATATAGCTCGAAATATAACGGCAAACTATGAAACCTTAGATCCAGACACTTACAATGCTCGCCGCTACAGAGAGAATATAGACTCCAAAACTATAAAAAAAATTGTGTGAAGGATTCAAAACTCAAGATGTATGACTGAATATATATATACTACAGCATTGTGAATGTGTGAATTCTAGTCATGTCAAATAAGTTAATTTTAGATCTGCCATCACACATTTTGTTTCAGTGTCCTTATGGGAACGAGACGTGTTAAGCGGATATTTTAACAAGTGAGGAAAGGGGTGAGGTAATTCTGCTTATAGTGACCATTTACAGACAGTTTATTTTAATATTGTTACCATTCTGTCTGCGTATTATTATAAATTAAATACCATAGGAATTGCCATCTACTGTCACTCATACTGTTATTCAAATCTCTAAACAAATCATGTTAGTGATCTAGATCTGTTTCTTCTTGTTTTTCTATCCATGTGGGAATAAAGTATACTAATAACAGTCCATGAGTTAGGTTTTGAGTTTGAGTTTTATGATTTGGTGCTAACTGTGTGTATCATGATGTGTGTTATCACTGGAAAGTTTTGATGGTTGGTTTATATGAGAAGCCTTATTAACTTCAAAGTTTACGCATTCTATTTTTTATCACAAAAAGTTGTTTTACACATTCGGCTATATCTATTAGTAGTATAACGTATATAATTATAATTTAGGGAATTCATACTTCAGACAATTCAGCAAAATATCAGTCCTAAGAATATCAGTTTATCAATATGGCGTACACATCGTACTTATGAAACCTCAGATCATTACACTCGCAATGTTCGTCAGGGAGGATATAGGCTTCACAAATTATATAACAGTGTGGGGATTCAAAACTGACGACTATATATATATACTACAACATGCTGAATGTGCGTATTCATGTAGTGGTCAGTTTTTTTCCCCGGTTCATGTGTAAAAATAAATGTTTATAATTAACAAGAATAATAGCTGTTTTTCAGGGTCATATATACATGCACTAAATTGTGTATGTTTCGATTCCCATAAAAAATAATTATACCCAATAACATGCATACATGCATACATGCATAAAAGATTGTATACTATACTATATGTTTGGTTGGTTGATTGTATGGTCCGTTGGTGTACGTAAAATAACAATACAAAAACATACACTCACTGGTATCGTACTATCACAATGAACACATTTTAATTAGGGATATGCTTGGGAACACAAATGTAAGTATTCAAGGTTGATTTGTTTTCTGCGCATGTGCTTCCGCATTATTCAAATGACTACATGCAAAAACCTGAACCATTCATCGTGGCCGGTGTTATTTTAGTTCTCGACTAACACCTAATCATTTATTTTTTTATTTATTTATCCTCGGAATTTGACAAACCCAATAGTCGTATTAATTTAATTACGCAATTATATATGCACAGTCACGCGTTGGCGAACGTCTTACTTTTCATTGAAATCATGGCAAATACTGGATTTCAAGAAATTAGTGAAAAACCACCAACGTTCTCTGTTGCATTGACTGTAAGTATTAATTATTTATTTCGACAGGTATATGCAATTTTCAGATCTGCCATCACACATTTTGTTTCAGCGGCCATGTGAGAACAAGACGTTTTAAGCGGATATTTCAACACGAAAGGAAAGGGGATATTTCTGCGTGAAGTGATCATTTCAAAAAATTGTTTTGTCATCTATCAGTGGTAAGAACGTCACCAATCAATGGATTAAAAATATTGTGGCCATTTTGTATGTGTATTATTATAGACTGAATACCACAGGAATAATCATCCACAGTCACTCGTACTGGTATGCAATTCTCTGAACAAATCATGTTAGTGATCTGTTTCTTATTATTTTATCGGACGCATTTCTATCCACGATCTAAAAGAAGACATAACCAAGTGATCATTTCTAAATAGTTTAACTTAATGAGTATTTGGTCTCATTGTTGTAACCTACCGGTGGCAAGAACGCTATCAATGGATTAGAATTGTAGACAATAATATTGTCACCCTTTTGTATGGGTATTAGTGTGAATTACTATAATCTGTTTTGGTGGACATATCTACGTAGAAATGAGGTATACTAATAACTGTCCACGAGTTATGTACATTTAGTGTTTTCTGATTTGGTGCAAACTGTGTGGATAATTACGTGTCTTATCCTTAGAAATGTTATTTTTCAGAAATGTGTGATAGCTGGTTTATATCAGAAGCCTTATTAACATATTTAGGGGTCAAAGTTTACGCATTACCATTTATTGTCACAAAAAGTATACAAACAAGTAGACTGGCAAAATTGTAATCTATAGATGTATTAGAAACACAACGAGAAAGTGTGAGTTTACAAATATACACCCACTGTTTTGGTAGAGTAAATGGCACGACGGCAATTCACAATATTTGACAATGACCTTTCTAATACTCATTCTCCACAAAACCACCACTAGAAATCCAATAGCTCAATCATTAGAAACTCTATCTGCTATGGTTTATGTTTTGGGTTCGAACACCTTTTTCTTTTCAACATTGTACAAGCTGCTCATTCCAATCCAGGTACAAGGTCTTATTTACAATAGCGGTTTACAAAATATGCCACAGTTACGTAACTAAGACAATGGAGGGTTACAAAATATGCCACAGTTACATAACTAAGACAATGTTGGTTTACAAAATATGCCACAGTTACATAACTAAGACAATGTTGGGTTACAAAATATGCCACAGTTACATAACTAAGACAATGGTGGGTTACAAAATATGCAACAGTTACATAACTAAGACAATGGTGGTTTACAAAATAT